GACGACGACGAACGTAAGGAAGGAAGAAGAAGAAAGAAACGAAACGAAAGAAAGAAGAAGAGAGAGAGAGAGTAGTAGAGACGAGATATATATAATAAGAAGAAGAGAGAGAGAGAGAGAGAGAGAGAGAGAGAGAGAGAGGGATTCTATCAGGCTTGCTAAATCGAAGAGAAAGAGAAGTATATTGCTTGGAAATACATTAACACACATGCAAGAATGCACAGAAATATGTATATTTGTGTGTGTAACTCCACCATGGCTAGACCCAAGCCGGTCATATGCCGATCCCAAGCTCAGATAAAGAAGGGTTGTGTTAGGTAGGGCATCCAGCACAGAACTTGCCAAATCCTTCCTATGTTATATGCTCATGCTAGGGCGTTCTTATTGTGTGACTGAAAGTATGGCCGCTCTTAACAGAGCAGGAGTGTAGAAGAGGATTCATGTAACCTACCCCAAATAGTTGGGATAAGGATTGGATGATGATAATATGTGCATGGATGATTTCATGATTAAGTAGGGAATTTGTACAAATGCAAAATGACTTTGCATAGAAAGAGAAAGGACTTAGCACAGTAAGCCCTCAATAGCATATGTTTACAATATGCCCTCTCAGGTTCATGTTCGGATATCAATCATGTAATATCTGCTCTAGTACATTAATTGTTCAAGTTACAATCACCTCAGTAAATCATCCAACTTTGTAAGTTATGATTGCCACTATATATGTTCATAGGGACATGCATAACAATAGCAAAATCAGCCAGTAAGTGGCTGCAACAAAGGTCCTATATTGCACCTATAATCAAGATTTGACCATCACACATTGATTTTCGCTTTTCCATATAGACAGTTTTTCCACCCAGCAATAAATTATCAATTGATCTAGCCTGGTATGCCTCCAATTATTATCCGATTTGTGAAACTTCTCATGTGGAACAGAAAAAAAGAATGATGTTTTCAACAACAAAAAAAATAGAAGACATTAAAATCCAATAAATGCTTCCATCGGGAAAATTCGAAAAAAAAACTCGTACAATAGTTTATGAGAGCAATTTCACAAGCAAGATGAGGTAAAAATATCAATATGCCAAATACCGATAGTTACCTCTTTATTTTTTCTTTCTTTTTTTCTTTTTTTTTCTTTTTTATTTTTTGGAGATTTTTGTATCTCTAGCTACGTATGTCAGAGGAAACATGTGATTTAGAAAGATCACGAATTACCATAGGAGAATATATTGGTTTCTTTTTTAACTTATTCATTCCCCTATTTTGTCAGGGACATACTTCCTTTGGAGGGTGAAAATTCCCCCCACTGGCCTTGCAACTTAAATGCATGGGAAATAGTTCATGTCTACCAGTCATTGAAGTAAAAGTGATCTATAGGTTCTTGAAAATTCATTGCATCAACTCCTGTAAGAATGATATCATCCCTGAATATAACTACGAAGTATCCTTAACATAAAGTTTTTATGAAAATTGAATTATCAATGCTACTTTGATCTTACGCCTCTCAAACAGGACCATAACATGCTCCTGGTGACTATTTAGGGACATCTTGCTGTGCTGCAATATATTGGCTCCAAGAAGAGATCTCCTTCTAGTCTATAAGCAGTGAACCCCTAGGACACAAGTATTGCTATACATCTTTCAAAATATCTCTTTAACTTGGTCTGTAGGTTGTGCACAAACATGCATCAAACAAGTTGTTTTTCATTTAGGTTTTGATAAGTTATGCTTCTCACTTTACATCTTATCGTCATTATCTTTCTACAAAGGTGGATTAACAAAGCCTTCAGCAATGCTGGACAGTCCCTTGATTCAAGGAACACTGAAGGAGGAAAGGAGTTAGAGTGAAATGACACATCACTAATGATGGAAGAAAACAACTTATATAAGAATGGTTCTTCATACTCATGCGGCAGGCCAATCAAGACAGCATAACAAGACAATGGAGACAAAATAAGGTTAAGCTCTATTAAATACCCTCAATAATGTCAGCCATGTCCTGGGTGAGCTTCACAAGTTACAGTTTGACAGCTAGAGTTAGGCCATGGCCAGCTCCTCAGGCCTGCCTACACAAGTGGAGTCCTTTCCACTTGTCAGTGCTTTCATGGATTTGGCCCTTATAATCAATGGATTACAATTGGATAAGTTCATCCTTGGACTGTATAAGAGATTGCTTAAGCAATCACATATGCATGTGTGGCTCTACCTCATGACGCCAGTGCAGAGACAGTGACCTCATCAAAATGGGTTCCCAAGAATACCTGTGCAACAAGGTGAAAAGAAGTTCCATTCCCATACTAACTATAGTTCGCAACCAAGAAGGTGGCTCTATTGCTCTCACAAGAAGCTCCAAAACGGCTGCATAATCACCAATACCACCTGCATAATCACCAATACCACCTGCATAATCACCAATACCACCTAGATCTTCATCAGCGGTTGGTAATAAAGAAAGAACCATCTACTATTTTGTATATCTCTCACAAGAAGCTCCAAACCGCCTGCATAATTCACCAATAACACCTAGATCTTCATCGGTGGTTGGTAATAAGGAAAGAACCATCTATTATTTTGCTAACCAAAATCCATGATTAAGAACTCAAGGTTCCATAGCTAATCAGACCACAGCAACGCTAGTATCTCTTGAGTACATATATGGAGCGACAAAAGTGTGTTGCTGATATCCAGTAGCTTTAAAATATCATCTAGCCTCAACAGAACCAGTAACTCTTGCCTTGTCCATCTAGTCATGTTCAGTAAATCATTGCCACAATCAATGCCTGAGGTCAAATATTCTAGACACAATAACACCATAGACAAAACAAAAAGGAAGAAGAATATTATGAAGTGAAATATGCCTCAACATCTCTCCTCTTATGAAGTTACAGCAATCATATAACCCTTGTGCTCCCATAAAAATAAAATCATCACATGTTACAAGTTGAAATTAAGCCACCTACAGCTGATCTAGCATAGAAATGGAACAAGTATAGAGCACATAGTGAAATATTCTGCAGCACTAGGGAATTAACAATGGAAGGAGAGAGAAGAGGTTTGGTCAAATATCTGAGCTACTATTAGCTTTTTCAGACATGATTTGGTTTATTGTAATTTTTTTTTAAGATGCATGATAGAGTGTCATTTTTTACTTCTTTTTTATAAAGCAGTGTTTAAAAACTCAGCAACTCGAACTCAGACACGCCCGTATCACTTGTAATCAGCAAACCTTACTCATTCCAGATGACCCTGCTTGGATAACCCAAGAGTTGAAATAGTTTGACCGACTATTGAACCTGTCCGGGTCTTGACCGAATCTTCAGAAAAACATGTGAAGTTGGTGCGAGTCATGACCTGCCAGAATTGGGACTTGGCAAGGTCACTTGAGCTCGACCCTTTCCTGGTTCCATTCCCGGTCCAATGTTTATAAACACTGTTACAAATATTAGATATTTAAAAGCTCCTAAAAATAGATTCAAATTTAGTAGTTAGGAGTAATTGAAAATGATAGGCAAAAGATCATACTTGGTCCACAATATGCAAATTGAAACAAGAGGTTATTAAGACAAGATTTCAATAGGTCAAAAATTGTTTGGTCAATAGAAACTTTCAGAATTCACACTTCATCACTAAATGGAGTCATGCAGCACATAGGTACCTCCAATTGCATCAGCATGAGAATGGGTAATAATGACAGCATCAATGGATCTTAACCTGATAAATTGAACAACAGTCAACAAAGGCAAAGAAACATTGTACGAACCACGTCAGGCTTATATGCAGAAAGTGAAGTCTGCTAACAATCCAGGTCAAGCATTAAAATGTGAATTGTTAGGTACCAAATATACAGAATAAAAATTATCTAAGAGATCAACAATATCATGATAATAGACTAGAGGACTTATGCCAGTATTGGAAATACCAAGAACTCCACATCTGCAACCACTTATACTAGCTGAAACAACCCAACACAACCATATAACATCCTCACAAAGAGGAAGGGGGAGGAAAAAGGGAAGGTGGGGGTATAGTTTTGGCATGTTAGCCTGGAAATTATTACATTAAACAATCTCAGGTTAAGAGGTACCCCACTTTAGGTCTCTTAACTTGATGACCTGGCTGCAACCTGGCTTCCAAAGGGTATGCTCTACATAGGAACATATCAAAACAACATGAAATGATGAGACCATTCAGTTCAAGCTAACCTAGGCTGAGGGTTTAAGACGTAGTCCCTTTTAGTCCTTTTTCATAACCTAGTATGCACATATGAATGATATCCAGGGATATATTGGTTGCTCAATCGGCAGGAAAAATGGGTACCTAGCCGAAGCCACAAGTATTCATAGAACTCTTCTACCTCACATCATCCCAATTAGGCTTGCAAACAATTTTGGAGCATGTTGCTTTATAAGTATGCATCCATCTAGCCTGGGCCCTTAATCCATAAATGGAATTTTATTAGGTGAAAGGTCTCCTCATGGCATCTCTAAGAATGATGAGTGAGATATTGTTCCCCTTTTACTAATAATCTTTTGTAAAAGAAAGGAGGATGTAAGGCCTGCAAACCAACACAGACCCTGGCAAATATGAGGCATGAATAGTAGTTGACGAGGCTTTTCCCAATTTGTAGAGATACTTTTAAACGTTGACATTTCTCTACTAGCAAAATCTTGACATAAATAAAATTTAGAGAAGGGCAATGTTATCAAAACACAACAATTATGCTATGGGCATAATACATCACATCATCATCCAAGCGGGTTATCATAGCCATGTTTCCTTAAGATGACATGACATATTGGTTGCCCATAACACTATCGTTGGGTTTTTTCAGAGCATTCTCATTTAGATAAATGGACAAGTTATTAGCATTTAAGAGAAGTACCATATCTTTAAAGACTCACTGAAGAACTGTAATTCACTCTCATGACAACAATATCTTATGACTGATTACGATGGATAACACAACCCAATTAGGCTATTTTCTTGGGCGTCATGCCTTGCTCCAATAACATGTTAGATTTAGAGAATTCATACTGAATAATTAAACAATGTAATGTTGTGCCCCTTATATACAACACCCAGGAGGTATGAACAACACAAATACCTCTAGACAAACTTTCAATAGAAATGCATCCATCATCATCATCATTTTAGCCTTTTTCCAATCAATTGGGGTCCGCTACATGAATCCTGATTCTCCACTCTGCTCTATTAAAGGCTCAATAGAAATGCATCCAGTACATTAAAAATTATAGATATACATCAGTAGAGATAACTGATCCCCAAATAATCCTTCACAACACAATAAGGATGATTTCAGAGAAGAAATGCTGACAAGAATGTTTAGTCGTGTAAATGAGTAGTCTTCATCTTGAGTAGTTTCATTAAAAAATGTATATTCACTAAGGGCGCGTCTGAGTTCAAACCACAGTTTGAGGGCATTTTGCACTTTGATTCAATTCCAAAAAAAAAAAGAAAGCAAAGTACTTTTTCTTGGGGGAAGGGGGGGTTGGTATGTTTGGTTGCCCACATGAAATGTCTATTGATTTGCAACAAAGCCCTAGAATAAATCACACCCCCATTGAAATGTCCATTGATTTGAAATCACAGCCCCATCCTCTTCAGGCAAACATATCTTTTGATACACAAATCCTCAGAATAAACCCTCCTTCCTCAGGTCAGCTGACATTGTACTACCACTCAAACAATCATTTATTATCCTTTATGAATGAGGAAAGAAGCCAAATTTGACAATGAAGTTAGGGTTTCTTTTGAGGCAGTACCGCTTCCATTGCCCAGAGTTGCAGATGTCTGTTCTCAGAATGGATTCTGGCGGAATTGTCGATAATTATGGCGAAAGGAGAGAGGAAGCCATTGGAGGGACACCATGTATGACTTGGGGGTGGCCAAACTGCATTTGATGCTGATTCATTTTCATTTGCAGCCAAACAAGGGATAATTGTTTTTTTCATTATCAACATGTTCAATATATATCTAAATTGTATGCTGGTTCCCTTGGGACTATCAATCAAGAACCTTCTTAAAACTGTGTTCTCCCACTTCCTACATCCAATCCCACTTCAAACCCATGAAACTAAAGATTAAAAAGAATTTCTTTATCACATGCTTACACCTAATTAATCAGGGTAGTAACTAACAGCCGAAAATTATATCCATATAAACCATAAGTTATGAAAAACAAATATAAAGTAGTTTAGTCCATCTCTAGAGCCTAAAAAGGATACATCTCTCACATGCATACTAATATGTGAATCTGTATAACAAGTCGTAAAAGTTGTTCAAGAAAAAAGTTAGGCCTTACCCAAATTTTGGAAACCACTTAAGAGCACTATGATAGAAAAATCTGCAACAAAAAAACTCAAATGAATTTTCTAGTTTCTACACTACAAAGACAAAACAGGTATAAGAAAGCACAACAAGGCAGTCATATGTAGTTTCAATGAAACACACAATCTGGATCACATTTCACACATGTAAATTAGAAAATGTAAGATCTCATAACCACGTATGGTAAAAGAAAACAGAATTTCCAGATTTGGATGACATAGGGCTTAATATGAGGGCTCCATGTCGGAGACAATTAGACTATTCAAATGTATGAGCAATCAAGCACAAGTCCACATTCCACAGTATAGAAAAGTCATGCAATAAAATACTAAGAAAAATGAAATGAAGGGCATCAATTTAGTCTTCATCTTCATTGGCATCAACCCCAAAAACACCGTCTAATTCAAGCCATAATCATCAGAGTCATCAACTCTTCAACATAATAGCCCCCCTCCTTAGTCTCTTCTGAATCGGTTTCCTCCTCATCCTCCTCCTCCACTATCTCCCTCTTCCCCATCCTCCTGTGTACCAAGCATAGCAGTAGATCTAATAGCCCTCCTACATCAGAAGCTAGCCCCGAAGCCTCCTCAACCATATCCCAAGTCAAATGCCCATCACGGAAGAACCACTTCTGCACTAGTATCAACCACTCATTCGCATCATATCTCTTTCACAACAATGAGATTCTTCCTGTCAAGCTCATTATAGCGATCATTTAGTCTCTAATTATACTGAACAAAGACTAAATCATTGACTTTCTTTTGTTCAAGCCTATTCCTTGTTTTTGTATGCACTTGTGCAAAAATGCATTAGGCATGAGCTAGATTTTAGAGAACTGGAGTAACTGAGTTATACAATAAAGTGAACTTATAATTAAAGCATGAACTTATTAGTTATAACCTATAACCATAATTTGTAACTTATATACTTGTATCTTACAAATTGGAAAATAGTAATATAATGATAATAATGTGAAAAATTGTAATATTTGCTAGTTACTGACATAGCATTCCAAATGAGCTCCGATTGTGTTAGCAACTAAATGAACTACATGTCAAATCCAGTATGCAGATGGTCATCTTTTGCAAAGTAGGGACCACTACTCCCATGTTAGTTCAACCATTGGCCTACAATTGCATTGTTTGTATTTTAATACTATAAGACAAATTTGTAAGCCATAGTTGGTTTTTAATAAAAATCAAGTATACAATATTCACCTTATTAAACTATGATAGAAATTAGATAGATTATCAGGATCAGATTTATTCTTTTGTCTCACAGCCATTTCCTTCAAAATCTTAAAGCACACTTATGTAAGATCAATTCTTTAGCAGAAATCTTATTCTAGATATCCTTATCAGGAATATGCTTCTCAAGACACTCATAGAGCTCTTCCATAATTGCATTCTTCATCTTAATATCCAAGTCTGCATATAATAAATTTGGGTTCAGTTCAAATAGTACCCAGCCACATGCAAGGGCCAATAAAGCTTCTTATCCCACTTTGTACCTATAATCTCTCATATTAGGCCATACAAGCTCTCACTATTCCCCAATGCCTCGGGCATATCTCTCTTGACTCTAATGCATCATCTATAAAGCCAATGGTGGCTTCACCTCAATATCAACCGAGCGCAAAACCTAGACCAAGGGTACGAATACCTTACGTGAGTGCACTACCCTGCTCCAAAAAGACCTAGACAAAACAATATCACATACCCTCTTCCCTTAAGCATGCTTACACCACCTGCATCTAGACCAATCTTCTGAAGTGAACATAGACCAAAATTGGCTCTGAGATCAATTTTTCTCTAAAGAGCTAGAAAACTGGTGGCAAATCTCATAACCGCAAGCCTCAAGAGAATCCCTCTTCTCAGTCCACTTTTGTTTCATGCTAAGGTTTATGGTATGACTATAGATCCACAACTTCATGGCCTTAACTTTATCAAGTGTCCCCCTTTATGCTTGGCATTTCATCAATAGTCTCAAGCATGATGTCTATGCATTGTTCTTATGGTGTCCAAAATAGAAGGCTGATTTTGTGTTATAAGTTGGCAGCAGACATATTGAATGCAACCATGTTTGTCACCACATGTATCATATGCTCCTCTCGAACCTCCTTATACCTTTGCCAACCAAAGAAAATATTTACTGTCCATCATAAACGTCAATAGAAGCATCAATAGACATCAAAAACTTTGTCCCTAAAGGATTCGCAATCAAATTCATTACACTCTTGCTTCTCTTACATTCCACGAATCTGCAATGATTGAAAAATTGGAACCCAATATTGCACCTATGCATCCATGCAGGCCTTGAGGCACTCCTCCACAAGCTTTAGCTCCTTCTTTAGCAATGGCTCCCTAAGCTCTTAAGGGTTCAGCCCTTTAACCTAGGCCCATACTGGCCAATAGCCTCCAACATTGTATGGAATGTTTTTCTGCAAGCAACATCGAAAGCAATGCCCGGCTGACTCATCCACCAAGCTATGTCTTGACCTACCTGGCCTTCGTCTTCTTTTATGAACATATTTTCAAAAAGAACTTGCTTTTCTTTCTCTCTATCATTTAGTGTGGCCTGGAGATCAATGGGAACAAAACATCCCTAGGCCCCTTCATATGGGCCTTCTTAAACACTATGATTAACTCTCAATGCCTCTGGAGGAACCCACTTCAGTTGACCCTTCATCATCTTTCTCGTCACACCAACCAAACACAATAACCCCAGTCTTCAACTCTCCCCTGCTTGCCTCCGCTGCCTTTTCGTTTCCGGCATCCAAATAATCATTTATCTCCTGAATATTAGCCAGAACTTTCTTAGATGAGTAGTATCCCTCCTAATATCGCAAGCTGTTTTGAATCTATTAATACTGCCATTTGCATCATGCTCACTGTAATTGCACCTAACTCTATTTAAATTATTCTTCTCCCAGAAGCAACCATATTTCTAACCTGGATCTCCACTCCTGGAGACATTGAAAGATCTCAAATACAGAGTGAATTAACCACAGATGAGTAACTATTTTTCCCAATTTCGAATCCTTGATTTTTAGTTAAATATTGTGCTTAAATCACCAAATCCCCCTTCCCCTCTAAACCATTGGGTACCAATGTGTTGTAATGACAGCAAAATGTACTTGATAATTGCGTACTTTTTTCAATTACTGAATATTTCAAATGTACTATTAGATTGTATTCAGTTCCATTGAGGAGCAGCAAAACTTGAAAGTGTACAGCATCCAAAACTTTGTCAAGAGTGTAGTGGCTTGTCCATACGTAATTCTCATTGCAATATGGAAAAAACATACAAAAAGGTTTACATAATGGAGGAAAAAATTGACAAGAATAAGAATCTCTATAATTGCAATTACAGTGAGCAATTACAGGCGCACCTTAAACAATCCAATTAAGGCGCACCTCCAAATTTTATCGTTACATGTAATTTTGGTGAAAAAAATTCTTAAGATTATCTCAAAATCTATTTTCATATCTAATTGTAAAATTTAAACTCCAAAAATGGTTAAAATCAAGTACATCGATAAACATATGAAAATCTTGAAAATGGACGGTCTAGATGATGTATTGCAAGATGCACTATTTCTAGGACTCAAATTTTTTTTTTTTTCGTATTCATATATCTCGATGTTGAGATGACCAATTAGAGGTTTTCTCAACATTAAAACAACCTTTTCAAATAGATTTTTAAGGTGCATCTGTAATTCTACATTTTAAGGTTGCAACCTTATATAAACTTTTTCCTTTAATATGTTGCCTATTTGCAGCTATTCCACAGCTCAAGATTGTGTAGTTTTTAAATTAACCAAAATATATGAGTAAAGTGTTAATTGAGGATCTCCCATTGGTAATTTGATAAATTTCCCATGAATTAATTCTAATAAAAAGGAGCAGCTGAAAATAGCAAGTTACACTTGATATGCCTACATACATACATACATACATATATATACATATATATATAGATGGATTTTTCTAATGTACCACCCCATGGAATCCTATAGGTTACATTTAGAAAGAGGCGTGAACCATCAAAATTATTTTAGTTGCCCATTTCTTTATTCTATAGCAACAAAAATAAGTAAGAGCATTTTTTCCATTGAGAAGGGTATTGTTGACATTTTTATGAAAAGACAAACAACAATACCCTTTCCAATTACAAAAATAAGCCTACCCAATTTAATGCTATGGAATAAAGAAATGGGCAACAAAAGTAATTTTGACGATTCACAGCCCTTTCTAAATGTAACCTATAGGATTTCATGGTGTGTTAGCAATACACAAATATATAATTTCAACTCAATAAAAGCCAAACTCTAGAATCATGTACATACTTGCCAGCATCAACAAGAATGTTATGTCTTCCTAATGAACTAGAATAGCAGATGAGGATGCTTGTGTTAAGTCGATTATTCTTATTACCAGGCTCCAGAGCTTTTGAACAAACCTATAAAAGTCAACCAAAATAGTAATCACAAAGAGATCAGTACACATAAGAAAGTTGATTGAAATTCTAATAAAGAATTCTTCTTGTATTGCTTCCCAATTTTCCATTCACTAATATACTAATATGACATGAAGTTTCAACAATATAATGAAATATATTATTATGACTATTCATAAGGGTGTGAAAAAAAGACTATTTATTTCCTCATAACGATTAGTTTTTGAAACAAAATGAATTCAACAAAACCAGATAATGTTACTCAAGGACATTAAATAGGAAGCTAACATGACAAACTCATGACCAAACATGATATAACAAATAGCTAGTTTCTGAGCATATTTGATGTCTCCGTTGAGAAATCAAATATCCATAAACAAGTTAAGTTCTGCCTCAAGGATATATGATGATTTTGAGGGAATTTTGCATTCACTATCAACAGCGTTGACAAATGTGAATGTTATGAAGAAAAGTTGTAAAACTCTGATGTTGTAAAGTATGCTACCTTGAGAGGTCAATCCCAAAACGTATACCAACTGGCCACCATGGCAATATCCCTAAAACCTTCATCATTTGGATCCATGCAAAAGAACGTAGCCCACACTGATCTCTAGTAGAAGTGACCAATGATACTTATCTATTTGGGCGAGAAGATAGAGTCACCAATAGTACAAAGTATGAACATTAATAATTGCCAACAGACCTGTATAAACTACCTTGAATGGAGGATGTAAAGGTAGGGGCCATATTTCCTATACAACCCCATAATAACACGTTGCCACATAAATTTTTGCAGCTCACTTTCTAGATACACTGTAAAGTTACCTGCCAGAAAAGCAACAATAGGAGGGGCCTGCAAAGATTGAGAAAGGCTGACAGACAACAAGAAACTAGCTTATATTCCTTCAAAAGAAAAAACAAGAAATTAGCTTGTGTTATTCATCAAGCATACGTCCCTAGTAAAATGGAATATATGCTACAAGGAAATAGCAGCTAAATGGGGACTGTTAAACAAAAACATTGTTGTCAAAGTTTCACTAAGAAATGATCATCTGTACCTCTACCATACCCATAAACTAAAGACTGTAAGTAGGCAAGCTATTTCTTTCACCAGCAACCAAGAATCTGCAATATAGGTCAAACCTCCCAAGTTTTCCATACTCTTACAAACAGGTATTTGAACATAATTTTCATAAAGATGTGACAAGCAGATAGACAGCTCCAACGTTCAAACTAAGCGAGCCCCACTATGACTAGCATGCACAAAGACTTTAAGGCTTCGCAAGCTTGCTAATATGCAACTGGGAAAATGTAAGCTTATGGTTAGCCACCAAACCCATCCTTATTGAACCCAATTTGAGGACCAGTAATCAAATATCTCACTTGGTCATGGTAAGAAGAATCCCTTATGTCACTAGATTTTGACCTATAATGCAGGACCTGAGGCTAGACCTTTGTTAAACATCTTTCCTACAAAATGACAAACTTCTAATACTTGTGTGGCTTCTCCTTGTGAAACACAAGATAGGATACAAAATGAACTATAGCTTGTTGCAACAAGTTCAAGGCAGAATGTCTAGGGAATCCAATCTCATCAGAAAGCTCAAGCCACGAAAGGAAAGCATTTCTGCCTGCAACGTTTCAACATTGAGTTTCAAAAATAAAATGAGTATAGGAGCATCTGGGTCTTTCTTTTCTCAATACCATAGTTGTTGGAATCAGGAGCAGGATCTAGACAAGGACTTGGGGATCTTAATCTCAAGTTTTTGGAAATTCCAACCTCATCTTTTGGGGATTTTACTTCCAACTTTAAAGAGTATATACTCTTTAAAGTACGGATATCTTTATTTATAGCCACCAAGAAATGCAACTATATTCAAATTATAGATGCACTATAGCTGGCTATAAATAAAGAAATTCATCAGAATATTTGTTATCTTTGCCTTCAAGGTGGGGATCGAGATCCCTAACAGTGGGGATCAAGATCCCAAAAATTGAAAATAAGATCCCTTTCCCTGATTGCAGGGCGTTGCCACCTATTTTAGGAGATCCTAGCGAATATACTCAATATCACAAGGTTCAGATGGAAAACCACTAACACCTAAGGGATTTCCAGCAGCTCAATTAGCACATGACCAATCGAAAATTTAAGAAAGAACTATGAGTATGTTGATACATAATATGATGTTGATAAGAACCCTTATTATAGGAACAAGATGAGGTTTGTATTCTTTAGTAAACTCTAGTTATTATTCCCACAGAAGATGTACTATGTTAATCTTTTTATAATCTTTTCAATTGTTTCTATAGAAGATCTGTTATGTGGTTAAGAAGAGTGCTTTTTTTTATTTTTTGAGAATTATGTGATTAAGAAGAGTTAGTCAGACATGTAGGATCTAGGATGGATTATTAACTAAATAAGGATGAGAGACAACTGGTAGTTTTGCCATAAAGGAAATTCACTGGCTAGGGAGCTGATCACCGTCATCAGACAATCTAACAGTTATAAAGTAAGTACAATTACCATCATCTTTTGACACCTTCCTAACTCAATTGCACGGATATCTTTTCATTGTCCAAAACCATCAATATTCATCTCTTCGTTTTGTTGGTATACACTAGCTATCACCCTTCATGATGGTACAAAAGGTACCTAATATCAAGTACAGAAAAAGCACAGACAAATGAATTAGTGGTAGAAGGCTGGATCCACCTTTCAATATGACTTACACCATGAGTAAAAACAGTTCTCTAGTCGTTGAACCATGGTCATCATGCTGTCCATTACCTGAATCTATGCCTATGGCTGATTAATCTAATTATGATCTTCCCATTTACGCCCCCAGAAGAGTGCCAAGTGAATACTAGTTGACGAGGTCGACAATTAAAAGTTTTCTAGTGAGATTTGAAGCACATAAAGTTAAATTTTTCCAAATTCAAAATTGAAAAGTTCGTTCTTCAAAAAAGGAAGAGTTAATGGCTTGAGAAAATGCCAGTTACAAGGACCCGACCATAGTTACCGGAAGCCCTCCTCGGACCTCACGAATCCGGTTCCGAAACCCGTTTCTGCATTTCCGTTAAGGAATCTCAAACCGTTTTTGCAACCAACGAAACTCGATTCCTTTATTTCGGAATCTCGATTCTGTACATAAGTGGAAACTTTTTTTTGCACCACAGGAAACTCGATTCCATAATTTCGGAATCTCGATTCCTCACATATGTGGAAACCTTTTTTCGGAACCAAGAAAACTCGATTTCTTAATTTCGAAATCTCGAATCAACACTCCGTAGAAAATATTTTTTGGAACCAAGGAAACTTGATTCCTTAATTTCGGAATCTCGATCCAACAGATCTAGAGAAACTTGAGCCCACTAATTGTGGGTAGACGCTCCCAAATAGATTGAATCTAGCTTCCAGCGAGGTTTAAATCTTGATTCCATGTCAATTGATACACGATTATACATGTAATGCATCTTATTTCGTTAGGGTTTTGAAACAAGCTTCTACACTGTATAGAACATCGGTTTCTTGTACCACAAAAGTAATGTTTTATTTTCTAGTGGATACCATGTTTTAAGGTCCCAAACGATAGCATTAGGCGGCATGTGTACTAGAAAAGGGTATTGTTATTTATAAGGCATGTATTTTAAAAGGAATTTATTGAGATTGCGTTGCCTTTTTAGATATCTTTATTATGTTTCTCATATTTGCGTTGATGCAAGCTGCTATAGTTTCTTTACCATGCTCAAAGTTATGTGAATTGCTTAAGTGAACTTGCACCACGTCTAGCCTTGCAACATTGCTTAGTATTGAACTATTGATTGCAAAGTGGTTATTATTAACGTTATTTTTACTTATTTTTGCCTGATTTAAATACCTATAAAATAATATTTCTCATATTTGCGGTGATGTAAACTAACTTGGTTTCTTAATCTTGTTCATATGTTATGTGAAAAGACTGCATAGCTGATCTTACACCATGGGTAGCCTCGCAACATGCCTTAGTATTGAATGAATGTAAAATGGTAATTAACAATGCTAATTTAATTTATTCGCCTCCAATTTAAATGCCTATAAAATAATAAAATCATTTAACATATAAAGCAACACACATGGACTGATAATTGAAAGTCTAGAATTTATACATTGTGCCATAAAAAAAAGTTATAATACTTCATAATAGAGAGAGAGAGAGAGAGGAAGGGGATGGGGAGAGGGGGGGCTACGACTTGGTCCTTCTTCCACTCTTTCGAGTTGCTGCGAGGAGCATCTGTGTAACGGTAGAAGATGTTGGAGAACTCAAACTGTAGCTGACGATGGAGACACTCTTGGGGTGGAAGAAGAAGGATGCACTCTTGGGGCGGCACTTGGTGAAGGCTAGCTGAGTTCGCGCTCGATGGTACCTTCAGTTGCCAATTCATCGGAGTGGCATGGAGTACTAGGTGGCTCTCTTGAAGTACCCATGGAGTGACAAATCCGAAAGGCAATGCGGATACAACTCTATCATCATCAAGATCGAGGCGTGCATCCAACGATTCGAGAACCTCTATGTCATCCTCGAGGTGATCGTCTTCAGAATGAGAGTCCCAATTCTTATATTTCGCTCTGTAGTCCGCACGCAAACTACTTAAGAGTCTGTCATTCTAATGAACATACACCAATGATTCGAAACAATCTACATTAAGACAATTTTGTTTAACATTATGTACGTAACTATACATGCTCCAACATCTCTCTGCACATGAGGAATTAACACTTTGTGACAACACCTTCAGCGTAATTGCATGCAATTCTGGAGGACGACCACCATACATGTTCCACCATGACACAGCTTCCATAGAACCCCGATCAGCGATAGATGGGGAGAGGGCGATAACCCCTCTAGTCCAAAGAAAATCGCCAAATTGTTGTCGCACCCTTCCTCGTTCCATATCATCTTGAATTAGTACATCAAGGGTTGTGTGGTAACATGCAGAAACTTTTGGGTTCTGGTTGGGCTCCA